TTTTGTCTTGGTGTTGGTGTTTTATTCTTCCCTTTGAGAAGTAGTATTCTTCACTTGTAGGAGCTTAGATTACTACTTTTGTAGTTTGTGCGTGTGTTTTGGTTTAGTTGGGCGTTCTCGTCTCGTAGGATTCTTGTTGAATTCAGCTTTATAACTGTTTCGATCGGCTTAATGGCCGCTTGTAAATATGTGTTTTATTAATATTATCTGTTGTTCAGAAAAAAAAAATAGTTACAATATCATAATACTTTTTGTTCCAAATTTAGTTATGTATCATATAGATGGATCCAATTTTTATATATTAGTGGTAATATGAATTGAAATAATGGAAACAAATCCAATTCAAAGATAGATTCTATATTTGTATTTAAAATTGACTTAAAGGTAGATCGATTAGTTTTTGTAATTTACTACATTACTTGGATATAGCCTACTTTCACTAGAATTGGAGGACATTTTTTTCTACACTCATCTATTTTCTACATGGCCTGTACATTTTTGGAATTGACGCAAATTACAGTGGATGCTCTCTTACTACCTCCTCCCTACAAGAAAGTTCGTTAATTTCTTTCTTAAAGAATGCCTATAAACTTTATCATTTGTATTAACTAGTTATTAATTTAAAATTTAGTTAAAAACCATTTGACTCCCCAATTAAAACATTGATTCATCTTGATTCTTAAAATGACATAGTGAAATAAAAGAACTTTATATGCCAAATAAAGCAAAGCAAAAGGAATACATAGGTTTTTCCCTCTCCCTCAGTTTTATTTTACCAACACTTTGCCATGGCAGACTTCTTCATGCTCGGGCCCACGGGCCTGGGTGCCCGCTCTTCGACTTTGGCTGCATGTTGTGAGCCTATGCAGCCGGGCTCCTGAGGAATCTGCTGATGATTTGTTCAAGAGTTTTCAACGTCATATGAATTGGGATTTTGATTTTTGAGTTCTTGATTTGATTGAAAATTTTGAGTCTGTCGTTATTAAAATGCAATATACTCATAATGTAATAGTCATATAATATATTATATTAAAGGATTCGTAGAATTATAAATAGATTTGCTTTTATTTAATGATAAGAGTTTTTTATAAGGATAGATTAGTAATTTCATAACTCACATTGGTATATTAATTAATTTTTTAAGTAATTAAAATGACGTGTTGCGATTTTAAGAGATGTATGATTCAAAGTATGTACGAAACATTTATGAGAAGTATCTAGCCGTATAATAGCCTTTATTGGTCAAATTTTTGTATTTATTAATTATTATCCTTCTCCTTTTTGGTTTATTCTACACTCTTTNTTTTTTTCTTAAACATTTTTCTCAATTGACCCGTGTTCATTTACCCAATATTTGAGATCAAATGCAACCTATAAGGAAGAGAATTCGGTAGGCAACTTTAATCTTGACCGTTTTCATTCACAAGATAACACTCTACAATTTGAAAAAATGTCGCGATGGCTCTAATTGGACGAGAGCATGTATTTTTCCAGCAAATTATGTCTCTCTTTTTTAAAAAGTTTGGTGGCGCACTTTTGATTCTTGATTTTCCTTTGGGTCCCATCCAATCAAATTATGTACTTTTAAAATATTTATTTGGCCTGAACATCAATAAAATTATTAATAACATCTTTAACGTCCATAACCTAGCCATCATATTGCAATTATATTATATTTTATATATATAATATATAATGGATGCTGGAATAAATGTATGACATTTTTTGGGCAATGGTTGCACGTGACGCGCACGGGAGCTGGACACACAGATTCCCTCTGGTTTTGGTCTGATTTTGACCACGTGAGTTTTCAGTCTTTTGTCGGATGATTATAAATCAGCGGGCACTGACCAAATTTCACTCGATCATTGCCCATAGGTCTAAACAGTAGATCACACTCAATCATATTCCAAAAAATTTGAATGGTTTTTAGTTGATTATTTTTCATTTCGCATTTGATCATGTTACAGTTAAATCAGAAAAACATACGTGTTGTTAAGCTTGTATAGGCTTCGATGCACGAAGAAAAAAATAATCAAGAGCATCCAAGTAATAGAA